CAGGCGGGTCTCAAACCCGCGGGCTCAGGCAATCCATTCACCTCAGCCTCCCAAAGGTGCGGGATTACAGGCTGAGCCACCGAGCCTGGCTGAATGTGTATATTTTACATTTTGATAAATATTGTTAACTCCAGAAAAAAGTGAGCCAATTCATTTTTACCACCCAAAACCATATGAGATTGATAAGGTGATCTGAGCCAGAGAGGGGTCTATATGGCACTAAATAACCATGTTTGCTAGGCATGGTATGTCAAAAGCTTGAGTAGGGTGAGGAGGGTGTCCCATAGGGGAAACAGTCCAGAAATATGAGTCCAAGATATCCATGCAGGAGGGTACTCTGGTATGGTGTGTTAAAGCCTGTGCAGCATGAAGAGGTTGTCCATGCAGGGGGAAGAGCAGGGCAGTGATGCCTGGCATCAGATGTCAGAAACTGTTTAGGGTAAAGAGGGCATCAATGTTGAGGAAGTGGCCTGTTGCAGGATTCAAAGCCTGAACAGGGTAAAATGTGTCCATGTGAGAGGGTTGATGGGGATGATAGTAGTGATGAGGGTACTCATAAAAGAAGATGGATGGTGCAAGGTGATGGAGCCAGCGTAGAGTGAGGGAGCCTAAACAGGGAGAAGAAGGGTGAACTATAAAGTATATTGAAGACGCTGGGAGTCAGGCTTCTCACTGTTAGAGAGGGAAGCTACAAATATGAAGACTAGAATAAACCCTACAGTACTGGATTAAGGTGGAGACATTGATGTGAATCCATGGTTTTCAGTATGCATGGATTCAATACTTAAATGTAAGTGTGTGTGTACACACTTTCAACTTACAATATTTTCCTTTTTTTTTTTTTTTTTGAGTTGGAGTCTCACTCTGTCACCCAGGCTAGAGTGCAGTGGCATGCTCACGGCCACCACAGCCTCGACCTGCTGGATTCAGGTGATCCTTCCACCTTAGCCTTCCAAGTAGCTGGAACTACAGGCATGCACCACCACACCCAGCTAATTTTTTGATTTATTATAGAGACAAAATCTCACCAAGTTGCCCAGGCTGTTCTCAAACCCCTGAGCTCAGGCAATCCTCTTGCCTCCACCTCCTAAAGTGCTGGGATTACAGGTGTGAGTCACTGCACCTGGCTCAATTTACAATATTGTCAATGGTGGAATTATCAGGTTGTAATCTTGTCAGTTGAGAAGCATCTGTATTGACATCTCAATAGCAATAAGCACATCTAGTATGCAGATCTTGAGTTTCTAAATGTCATTCCCCACTAGAAAGAACCAGGTATCCTAGGAGAGATAGCAGATTCCAGGGTTGGGGTAAGGAAAGCATATATTAGCCTAGAATACTATCTTTTTTTGTGCCAGAAAGTAGTAAATACTCAAAGAATGATGGAGTCATATCAAAAGAACACAGAAGCTAACTTAATGACAAAAATCTCAGAGATTTAGAGCTCCACAATAAATATAGCAAAATATAACAATGAACAAAATAGGTGGAAGGGAGTTCACAGCGATAAAAAAAACAAATGAATAAACGAAGTGTAATGAGGAAGCATTTGCCACAAAATTACAAAGAGAGTTGGGAGTGGTGGCACATGCCTACAAACCTAGCTACTTGGGAGGCTAAGGAGTGAGGATCACTTGAACCTGGTGTATGAGAGTAGGCTGGGCAACACAGTAAGACCTCATCTCAAAAAAAAAATTTTTTTTTAAGTTACAAAGAGAAAAAGATAACTCTAGACAAGCTTGGCAGTAAGGTCATGAATGTCAAGGAAAGACTGAGAAATTGTTTAGACTGAAGGAGACAATACAACTAAATTTAACACTATTCTAGATTGGATCCTACTGCTTGATTAAACAACTAGAAAAACTTGAATAGAATCTGAGGAGTAGACTGGTAGCAATACATGTTAATATTCTGATTTTGATGGTTATTATGACTATGTAGGTTTGCAGGAAATATACAGTAAAATATCGGGGGAGTGATAATAGAACACTTCAGCAACTTCTTCAAATGTGGGCTGGAGGGAGTTTTTTGTACTGTTCTTGGAACTTTAAGTTTGAGATGGGCAGGGCATGGTGGCTCACACCTGTAACCCCAGCACTATGTAAGGTCAAAGTGGGAGATAGTTTGAGCCCAAGAGTTCAAGATCAGCCTAGACAACATAGAGAGACCTTGTCTCTACAAAAAATAAAAATAAAAAAAACTAGCTAGGCCTGGTGTTAAGCACCTGTAGTGCCCGCTACTCAGAAAAATCACCTGGGCTCAGGTGGTGAAGTTTGCAGTGAGCTATGATTGTGCCACTCCACTTCAGCCCAGCCTGGGAAACAGAGAGAGACCCCAACTGAAAAAAAAAAAAAAAACCCAAAGCATTGGAATCCCATTTTATTTTTAGAGTGATAGAGTCCTGCTCTGTTGCCCAAGCTGGAGTGCAGTGGCGCCATCATAGCTCACGGTGGCCTCCAACTCCTGGGCTCAAGTCATCCTCAAGCCTTAGCCTCCTGAGTAGCTGGGACTACAGGTATGTGCCACCCTGGCTAGTTACTAATTTTTAAAACTTTTTTTGTATAGATGGGGTCTAACTGTGTTATTCAGGCTGAGCTCTTATTCCTGGCCTCAAGCAATCCTCCCCCTTCAGTCTCCCAAAGTGTTGGGGTTACAGGTGTGAGCCACCACACCCAGCTGAAATCCCATTTTAATAAAAATTTGTCCCTGTTCTTAGATCTCCCTCTAACATATAATTTATTTATATCTATTTTTATCATCAGTCTCTATCCACTAGAACATAAGCCTTACTAGAACAGTGATCTTTGCTTATTGACTGATGTACGCCAGGTGCCTAGGTCAGTGCCTGGCACATGGCAGATAATAAAAACTGATGAATGGCTGAAGGGATGAATGACGTATATTTAGCTTTTATTTATTTATTTATTTATTTATTTATTTTCGAGTGGAGTATCACTCTGTCCCTCAGGTTAGAGTGCAGTGGCATGATCACAGCTCACAGAAGCCCCGACCTTCTGGGTTCAGGCCATCCTTCCTCCTCAGTCTCCTGAGTAGCTGGAACTACAAGCACACGCCACCACGCCCAGCTCATTTTTTTTTTTTTTTTTAACTTTCTGTAGAAATGAGGTCTCGCCATGTTGCCCACGCTGGTTTCGAACTCCCGGGCTCGAGCAATCCTCCTGCCGTGGCCTTCCAGAGTATTGGGAGGGAGAGCCAACTTGAGCCTCCTCGCCGGGCCTCCAGCTTCAGATCTTGATTGAGCGGTCAGAATGATGTCCGGCTGTGTGATTCCCCGACTGCGATGTCAACTGCACGAGGGCAGGGGACTGTGTGTTTGGGGCACTGGAATAGCCCTGAACACGGAACAATTCCTGGCACACAGAAGACCTGATAAACACCTGTTCAATAAGCATTCCTAGGACGTGCCAGGTCCCATACCGGCCTTAAGATGCCAGTAATAGCCCTAAGGTAGGAGGAAATGTTGCGGGGAAAACAAATCAGAGACCCTGACGCTGAGGCTGATAAAGCAGGAAGTCGCGTTTATTACTGGAACGCCGGCGTTCGGCCCGGCGGACTCCAGTCGCAAAGGCTGGGCCCCAATCGCAGTCGGGTCTCAGTTTATATAGGTTTTACGTTGGCTTTGGGGGGAAGGGGCTTTTCATGGTGTAAGGTTTTGCTACCACAGTAGGACCTTATCACTCCCGATCCGAGAGGCCAGGGAGTAGGGGGGTGGGGAAGATGGTGGTGAGTCCGGCCGCGATCAGGGGCCCCGAAGGAGGTGAGGCCCCGGGCTCCGCGCTGCTCACCTTGGCCGCGGGCTGCCTCTCCTCGAGCTCCCAAGCGGCTCTCCTCGTCGCAGCCGCCCCGACCGGCTTGCTCCGGCCCGGCCTCCTCTTCCTGCCCTTCCTGGGTTGCCTCCTAGTCCTTTTCCTCTCTGGCTCCATGAAGCGGTGGGGAAAGATCCGCCCACGGCCACATCCCCCGCGGGCCGCGCGTCCTAAGCGGACAGCCGCAAGGACTTGCGCTTTATAATCTCCCTCGGATCCGCTCCTCAACTCACAATTCACAGAGAATCTCCCCGCCCCCCGAAAAGCGAGGGTGAAACGAGCCTCCTGGTCCCGCGGACGAGGCGCCCGCGCCGCACCGCGCCACGATCCGCGTCGGAGGCGGATTCAAAACGGCTCGCCCGCAGGCGAAGACGGAAGGGGGAGCTGCCGGGCGGTTTCTCCGCCTAAAACCACTCCCCACGCCCCCACACGCCGGGACGCGGAAGAGAGGCCCAGCGGAGGGCAGACGCGGCCGTCGCCTCAGCCTCAGCAGCCAACCACGTCTCCTCCTCCGGCGCGCGGGACGTTTAGAACGGGCCGGAAGTAGGGGTCGGGGGCTTCCGGCAGTTGGACTCCGGAGAGCAGGGAGTGTCGGAAATGGCGACAAAGCGGCTGGCGCGGTACGCTAGGGGGTTCTGGGCGGGGGCCGCCCCTGGTCTGGCGCTGGCGTCCGCGGCAAGGCTGGGCAGTTGGGGTCTGCGGTGGCAGCTTCCATTCTCCGCAACCCGGGCGACTGCACTCTTGCCCAGCGGAAGGGCTCCTGCTTGCACCGCGGTCTCGCGCCTCTCGACTGTGTGGCCTTGATCCTGTGTCTTCCCCATTCTAAGCCTGGGGAAGCGACAGGACATGATAGCTCCCTGTAGACTGGCCGGAGGTCTCAGGCAGGCCCCACTGCACCCACCAAACTGTTTCCCATACCACTTCCTCGTGACCCATTAAATTCAAAATATGAATCACGTAAACCGGACAGGCTGTGTGTTTCTAATTTCTAGATGCAGTGTATGTATGAATGAAAGGCGAGGGCTTCACTGATGGGCAGTCATAGGCTGACATACCAAAGCTGCGTTCTTTGGCAGATTACCTAATCAGTTTCCTCGTCCGTAAAATATAGGTAGCAAAAATGTCTACCTCTTACAGGTGTTAGGGTTAAGTGAAGTGATCATCTTAGTTTAGTACCTGGTATGTAGTAAGCCGTCAATAAAAGCTAGTTGTTATTCCCAAATCCTTGCACTTCGCTCTCACTTTTTTTTTGAGTCAGAATCTCACTCTGTTGCCCAGGCTGGAGTGCAGTGACACGCTCACGGCCACGGCAGCCTCGACCTGCTGGGCTCAGGCGATCCTTCTGCCCCAGCCTTCTAAGTTGCCGTAACTACAGGAGTGCATCACAACGCCGGCTTATTATTTGGTTAATTATAGAGAGGCGATCTTGACATGTTGCTCAGGCTAGTCTCGAACACTTGAGTTTAGACAATCCTCTCGCCTCTGCCTCCCAAGGTGCTGGGATTACTGGAGTGAGCCACTGCGCCTGGTCTACTCTCACCTTTCAACAAATGACAACAGGAAGTGGCTTCCTAGTTAAAACTCTACCTACTCATCAAAGTAGTTGTCTCACCTGCACTTAAAACCCGCAGTAAGCTCTTCCCTTTCGTTGGACTGGAACGTATTGTCTTTGGAGATCCTTTATCAAAGATTCCCTTGTTGTGGTTATATATCTTGTTTCTTTACTCAGATTTTTTAAGCCTTAGAACTGTGCTGTACACATAGTAAGGGCTTGGAAAATGCAAAGGCAAAAACAAGCTTGTCAGTAGATTTTTACCTCTATAATCATTTGAGTTCCTCAGTATTACTATGTTAAAAGGAAAACTTTAGACAAATTCAACAGTTTAACTGAACAAAGAACGATTCTTAAATTAGGCAGTTCCCCAACTAGAATACGTACAGAGCAACTCCAGGGCTGCCACTTGGTCAGAGGATTTATGGACAGAAAAAGGAAATGACGTACAAAAACAAGTGAGGTACGGAAACAGCCGGATTGGTTACAGCTTCACCTTTGTCTTATTTGAATACAGTTTCAACAGTTGGCTGCCTATGTTTAGCTGAAACTCAGTGATTGGTACAAGAGTAGGTTGCAGTCTGTTTATACATCCAGTTAGGTGACAGTTCATTATGTGTGGAGAAACCTTTAGGCTAAACTTAAAATATGTATGGAGGAAGCTTTAGTCTAAACTTAATTTGACAACTGTAAAATGGGGGGGGAGGGCAGATAAAATTAGCCTACGTTTGCAAATATATATTTTTGAGGAACCATACAGATAAACCCAAAGTCTAGTTCAATTTCTCCTCAATCACAATACAATAATAACGAAGGTTTTGCCATATGCCCAGTACCATTAGTTTAGTAGCTTATTCAAACATGAGTGTGAATGAGTTTGTTGATCATATTGAATTGCTTCACATTTTTAGGCAACTTGGATTAATTAGAAGAAAGTCAATTACACCAGCAAATGGAAATCTAGAAAGAAGCAAATCCAGTAAGTAGTGTACTTACTTTCTTTACATTTTGTATCATTGTACTTTCAACACTGGTAAAGCTTAAGAACATCATGATCTTTTGCAGAGCAGTTATTTGCCTACTTAATTGTCATTGATTTTGAGTCGACATGCTGGAATGATGGGAAGCGCCACCATAGCCAGGAAATAAGTAAGTCTGGACTGTCAATGGCCAGTGCTAGCACTAGATATAGATATAAACCGCCAAGAATTTAAGAAAACGGAATGATCTGTGATTGGTAGTTTCATATAAAGCCTGTCTTGACAAAAGAACAAAATCCTAAATACCTAAATGTGTCATTATTTAAAATAATTGTTTGAGGATTACATACAGAGCCTCAGTGGCGTAGAAACTGAAAAAAATGCCTTTGCAAAAAAGGAGTGCATTTCAAATTTCATATGATTTTTAGGCTTAATTATATTAAAAGTTCCTTTTAAGTAGACATAATTTCAATATTTTGACTTATTCATTTGCGTAACATTATGTCACACTGCTTTGGTCATTTTAACATATTTTTATTGAAATTGGTTGTTTAATAATGCTATAATAATAGTAATAATAATAGTAATATTTGTTTAAGATAATTACAACATTAACTTAAAAATTATATATTCAAGTATTAATTGCTGATTCTTTCATTTAGTTGAATTTCCAGCAGTATTGCTGAACACATCAACTGGAGATATTGAGTCTGAGTTCCATGCTTATGTTCAGCCTCAGGAACATCCAATTCTTTCAAAATTTTGTATGGAACTGACAGGCATAAAGCAGGTATGATGCAAATTTTAAAATTCAAAAAGGACATAGAAGTTATAACATTTAGAGTTAGAGTTTCTTAGTGTTAGGAAAAATAATGCTCTCTCCAGAAGTCCATTGAAGTCTTTAAAAATTAGAAAAAATAGTGTTATTCTGTATTCTGGATTCAGGACTAAAATTTTTTTTTAAAAAGGAAAGAAAAGTGTTACAAAAATGACAATCAGAGGGTGGTGGGGGACAGAAAAAAGTATAAAAAATTTTAAGTGACAAATTTATTATATGAAATTAAATGACTCAAATTTATCTTTCTGTCAGTCTAGATGTAATGATTGTATTCCTGTGTGATTTTAGAGTTCTTATCAACCTGATTTTTCTTACCTTGGCAAGTTTTAATCATTATTTCTCTCCATGTATTATACATCTTTTCACCAGATAAACTCTTAGCCAGTTAGAACCTCTTCTTTGCTATATGCCCCAACAGTGCCTATCCTATTATAATACACTTGCAATTATGAAATTCAATTGTTGAATTCAGATTTTGTGACTCTCTATTCAGGCTCAAGTTGATGAAGCAGTCCCTCTGAAGATTTGCTTATCTCAGTTCTGTAAATGGATTCATAAGATTCAGCAACAGAAGAACATTACTTTTGCTACTGGGGTTTCAGAGCCTTCTACTTCTGACGTAAAAATATGTGCATTTGTTACTTGGTCAGGTAAAAAAAAATAATACCTGTCAATTACCAAATGGGTGGCCTTACCACTATGTAATTCTTTATTTCTAGTTTTATACTTGCTAACCTTGAATTATACTTTGTTAACTCTCTAGGCCAGGAAAAAACAAATCCAAGTGCCTAGTAGAAGTTAAACCAAAAAAGTAAATTCATTCATATTTTTAAAATTACCATTCTGGAATACTTCAAAATTTAAAGACTAAACTTTTAGAATCCTAGCTGTTTCTCACTTTTCTTCTGAATTCAGGCAAAGCTGATTTAGTAAAAACTCTTATGCTATTTTTCTTAGACTTGAATAAAAAGATTCCTCATTCTGCTCACATCCTTTGCTTTTATGCTTTGACACTTAATAAATGTAGACATTGAGCGTGGTGGCTCATGCCTATAATCCCAGCACTTTGGGAGGCCGAGGTGAGAGGATTGTCTGAGCCCATGGGTTCGAGAGACCAGCCTGGGGAACTTGGTAAGACCGCATCTCTACAATAAATCAAGAAAAATTAGCCTGGTGTGATGGCACATGCCTGTAGTTCCAGCTACTTGAAAGGCTGAGGTTGAAGGATCTCCTGAGCCCAGCAGGTTGAAGCTGTGGTGGCCAGGAGCATGCCACTGCACTCCAGCCTGGACGACAGTGAGACTCCAACTCAAAAATAAAATAAAAAAATAAATAAATGTAAACATTAAGAAAAAAATGGGCTCTTTTATTTTTATTTATTTATTTTGAATTGGAGTCTCACTCTATCACCCAGGCTGGAGTGCAGTGGCACACTCACAGCCACCTCAGCATCGACCAGCTGGGCTCTGGCGATCCTTCTGCCTCAGCCTTCCAAGTAGCCAGAACTAAGGCATGCGTGACCATGTCCGGCTAATTCTTAAAATTTTATCTATTGTAGAGATGATGTCTTGCCAAGTTGTCCAGGCTGGTCTCAAACCTGCGGGCTCAGACAATCCACAGACCTTGGCCTCCCAAAGTACTGAGGTTACAGACTGAGCCACTGAGCCTGGCCTATTTTTATTTTTTTTGAATCAGAGTCTCATTCTATCACCCAGGCTAGAGTGCAGTGGCATGCTCACAGCCACCACAGCCTCAACCTGCTGGGCTCAGGCCATCCTTCCGCCTCAGCCTTCCAAGTAGCTGGAACTACAGGCATGTACCACCATGCCCAGCTAATTTATTTATATTTTTATTTTGATCTATTTTAGAGATGAGGTCTCACCAAGTTGCCCAGATTGGTTTTGAACCCCTGGGCTCAGGCAATCCTCTAGCCTCCACCTCCCAAAGTGCTGGGGTTACAGGCATAAGCCACCACGTCTGACCTAAAAATGGGCTATTTTAAAGTAGTTCTTTTGTATAAATGAAATAGCATTGCCATTGGTAGTCATTGAAAGCAATATTGTGCCATTGATAGCATGGCATTCATAGTTATACTTGGCTTCCAGTTACTATAAAATGTTTGGTTTCTCAATTATGTTATTATTTTCCTAGAATATTTGAAATATAAACCTTGTAATTTAACACCTTACTCATTTCTTTATTTTTTTTTTTGAGCTGGAGTCTCACTTTTGTCGCCCAGGCTGGAGTGCAGTGGCACGCTCACAGCCACCACAGCCTCGACCTGCTAGGCTCAGGTGATCCTTCCACCTCAGCCTTCCGAGTAGCTGGAACTACAGACTCACGCCATCACGTCCAGCTAGTTTTTGGATATATTGTAGAGACAAGGTCTTACCAAGTTGCCCAAGCTAGTCTCAAACCCCAGGCTCAGGCGATCTTCTTGCCTAGGCCTCCCAAAGTGCTGGGATTACAGGCTTGAGCCACTGCGTCCAGCCTCGTTTCTTAAAATAGTCAAGATTTTATTGGGTGCTTGAGAAATCATTTTGAAACTCATTATTAATTTATTTATAGTAAGTTATATAAAGTAAATAATTTTTAGATATTAACAGAGCAATTAAGTTTTACTGTTCTGTTTTATATCATCTTCCAGTATTCTATTTGTAAGGGTGGCAGCATAAGTAAAACATGCTGGCATCATTGACATTGTTCTATTTTAATGTACTTAATACAGACTGGGACTTGGGAGTTTGCCTGGAGTATGAGTGTAAGAGGAAACAGCTGTTAAAACCTGTATTCTTAAATTCTTGGATTGATCTCAGAGCAACTTACAAGGTAATGATCAAAGATGGGGACATAGTCCCTTTCCTTCTGTTGAAAAAATGATTAAAATTTATCCCACACATGGGTGTGGGTTTCTACAAATAAGATATTTTATTTTGAAATGTTCACATAAATGCTGTTCTTAAAGTATTTAACAACGCAACATAAATAAGCATATTTCAAATCTGATAGAACTAAAAATTATGAAAAGTGGTTAATACAGAAACTTTCAAATAGTAATCATTTTTTAAGATATATCTTTTATTTGATTAGCTTTTCTATAGGAGAAAACCAAAAGGACTAAGTGGCGCATTGCAGGAAGTGGGAATAGAATTCTCAGGACGAGAACATTCTGGTTAGTATAAACTAAAAATCATTTTATTATGTAAGTTATTTGACTTTCATTAAGTCTGTTATATTAATTTCATTTTTTGATAATGTCATTAATAAGGGATAACTTTTAGCCCCAAAATGCTGCTAATCTATGCAATTCAAATTGTTTCTATGAACTTTCAAATTGTCACTTTCATAACCATTGTAAGGTGAAGACTGCCATCTAGTGGTTTTCTAGTTTCTAAAAAGAATGAAAAGAATCAGCCAAGTCGAATAGGATTAACTAAGCACCCAGATAATATAGTGGACTAGTGAAAAAAACTGAACAAGACTATTAGACTACTCACGTATCATGATCCCTTCAGATTGTTGGTCACCTTTTTGGGAGCTGTCTAACAATGTTCATATCCTTCTGTGTAAATGTGGGCAGTCTTATCTTTCATTGTTAATACTGCCACATCTTTCCACAAGACCAGTTTATCATGATTAACATTAGTAAGATGGTCATAAAACTAACAATATAATCCAGTTCCTATTTAAGTGGTGGTATTTTTTTGTTAGTATTTCTTTATACTAGTATTACTAAATTCAGTGTTTGATATCTATTTTCTCAGGGTTGGATGATTCTCGGAATACTGCTCTTCTTGCTTGGAAAATGATCAGCGACGGTTGCCTGATGAAAATTACAAGGTCCTTGAAAAAGGTTAGTGGTATCTTACCTTTTTATTCTGTCATCTCCAATTCCAGTAGTAGCCATAGGTTCGTTGAAATGTTGCTTTCATGTGTACAATCATTTATAAATCAATGACATTTTTCTTTTTTGTCATATCATGTAATGTATACTGAAGAAATTATGAAAGCACAGTTTCTAAAACTGTTGGATTTATGGAATCATAGGTTTCCACTGAGAAGAATCACAACATTCTGGCCAGAAATTTGAATACATATCAAGTTGAAGAAACATCTGCCTACGACATTGGCATCCAGTGTCCCAGCATATATGCTAGGAAGCCTGAAAATACGATAAATTTTCATGAAAAAGTTCAAATGAAGTCAGTCTATACAAATTCTCCTATAAAGGCACAGCAGGACCAGTTACAAGTAAAGAGCAATATGAAAGCAGGTCTTCACAATGTCAAAAGTTGCTTATCTCTTTCTAATGCTAAGTCCTCTACTTCTCTGGGCCAGTTGCAGCCTCCACCTTTCTATATGCAGAAACAGAGAAAAAATGAGGATCTTGCGTTGAATACCAAATCTAAGTCTTCAGCAGTTGGTTCAGAATTGGTACTTGTTTCTACCACCCTTTCATCTGTTAATCATGTTTCTGATGTGGAAGTGAGTTCTACGCTTGATTGTTTACCTATGTTGGCTGATTGGGAGGATGTAGTTTTACTGCCAGCATCTCATCTTGAGCAAAATAAAGATTGTACAGTTCCCATTAGTGACTCAGACTTAGATACGTCATTTAATTCTGGAGAAAGATCAACAGTTTTAAAAGAATCAGAAATACTAAGAAGTTATGAAAACTTTGGAGGCACAGAGAAAACTTTTCAAAAATCTGAAACCTCTAAGTCTATTGTGTACAGAAGTCCTCACACTACTATTTATAATGTAAAAGAAGCCAAAGATCCAGGTTCAGATGTTTCTACCTTTAAATTACCTGAACACAAATCAAGTATTTTCAAAAGTGTTAATGGGTCTCATCCTTTAGTTTTGGGGAAACATCCTCTTCTTTTAGGTGGCACTGAAAGGAATCCATCTAGTCCCCCAGCTTTCCCACCAGCAAAAAAACAGACCTTCACTATTCATGAAGAAAAGTCTGCATTATCTGAATGCTCCCCAATAAGAAGTTCTTCCCGGAAGGTTATCCCCTCTATATTAACTTCGACAGTTAACCTACAAGAGCCTTGGAAGAGTGGCAAAATGACACCGCCCTTATGTAAGTGTGGCCGCAGATCAAAGAGACTTGTTGTTTCTAATAATGGACCAAACCATGGAAAAGTCTTTTATTGTTGCCCTATTGGAAAATACCAAGAAAACAGAAAATGTTGTGGTTATTTCAAATGGGAGCAAACACTTCAAAAGGAAAGAGCCAATAGCATAGTTCCATCTCATTCCACAGAAAGACTCACTTTTAGTTCTCCAGAAACAAGTCATATTCAAGACAGAAATTTAAATTTTTTAACTAAAAGTTCTTTGAGACTCAGGCCTTCAATGAGGAATTGATAAACTTTCATGTATGAATCCTAATTGTTCCCTAAATTCCAAAACATGGGTATTCTGGTAACATCTTACACTATTTTATTTATATTTTGTATATTAATATTTGCTGAATTTATCATACTTCTTTTGGTGGTTTTTCTCAAAAAGTCAAAGATTAAGTAGTTTGTAAACTATAATTATTAGGTTACATATGATAAGCAACAGTAGTGTATGATATCCTTTTATAGTCAGACCTTGAGACAAGTTTTAGACAATTTTTAAATTATCTGAACAAAAATGTGACTAGTAAAATTCCTTAATCTATTTTCAGGTAGAAACTTGTACTTTGGGAATTATGGTAAACTTCTGATTATTTTTTCTAAAATCTTTTGTAAATTGTTTAGTCAAAACATTACTTCTGACTCGTATATCATCGTATCAGAAGAATTATACAACCAAAGTTTGAAAAACAATAGTGCAGAGATTTGGTTCAGAAACTGGTTCTATACTATACATTTAAAAATTTCCTAGTAATTGATGACCTTTTTATATTAACAAGTTATAGGAATGTTGGCACTTATGCAGTGGAATTTTCTGAATATTTTATTTCCAAATTGAGCCTCTGATGTAATAACCACAAGATATTTTAAATCAATAGTTTCTAATCACTTCTCCATGTTTTACAGTTTCTGCAGATTTATAGATAGCATGTATTATAAATACCATGTTTCTTTTGTAGATACCATGATAATTAATAGAATGAATTTAAATTGTTTTCCATTCTTTCTTCCTCAGTTCATATCTCTTTATTTTCCCACTGACAGTCTTTGGTAGCTCTTGGATAAATTCTACCTGTTGGTATCAAGGGGAAGAAAATTAGCCCATAAGTTTTCACTTTTAGATAAAACCAATTATATAACAGTTATAATATCAATTTTAGGTGAAAGAATTAGAACACCCATTAGATTGGGTTTCGGTAACAACCAAAAAAGAAGGAGGGAAATTGTTGTGAGGGGATTTTCCTTGATATTTAGTATTTATAAGGGGATACCCAAAAAACCCTTGAATTATCTTTTGAGGACAGACCCTTGTAGTACAGGCTTCCCCCACTGGGTAACTATTCTAGGGACCCATCAGCATCGTGTACCAGTTAGCGTCGTGAGAGGCTGCATTTGGTGTCAGTGAATTTTGAGGGAGAGATTCTTTCAATGTGTTTGCACATTTTATGATAAGTAATTTATAAGCACACCTGCTCACACCACACGGAGTGTTCGGCAGTTTTTTCCCCAAAAAGGCCTGACCTCTGTGCCCCACCCTCCCTATTCACCCAGCCTTGCCCCAAGGGACTCTTTTGCTTCCAGATTTTATTTTATTTTTTATTTTTATTTTTATTTTTTTTTTAGTTGGGGTCTCACTCTGTCACCCAGACTGAAGTGCTCCCAGCCACCGCAGCCTCGACCTGCTGGGCTCTGGCGATCCTTCCGCCTCAGCCTTCCAAGCAGCTGGAACTACAGGCGCGCGCTACCACACCTGGCTCATTTTGATTTTATTGTAGAGATAGGTCTCGCCAAGTTGCCCAGGCGGGTCTCGAACCCGCGGGCTCAGGCAATCCACTCACCTCAGCCTCCCAAAGGCGCAGGATTACAGGCTGAGCCACCGAGCCCGGCTTGTGAGGAACCAAGCTTGTTGCTAGAATTAGTGATTGATATAAAGCAAGACCTGTACTCTTCTCAAGAGTTTTGTTCTGTTTTCTCTGGGCATGGATGTTTCCAGATTTTAAAAGCTCTCAAAGGGAAACCTTTTGCCAGTATGGAAGAGGCGAAACAAAAAATGTCAGAAGCACTAAAAGGCATCAAAACTGACAAGTTAAGAAACTGTTTTGAGCAGTGGAAAAAGCACTTTGGTAGGTGTATTGCATCAAACAGAGTACCTTGAAGGTGACTAAAGTTTAAACATGTAAGAATAAATATATAATTTTTAATAAATAAATTCTGAATTTTGGGGGGGTCTTCCCTCATACTGCAAGTCTAGTAAGCCTAATGACCAAAAAACTAGGTTTTTATTTTAATCTTAAAGCTTCTGATTCTTATCCATATGTCATTAGTTCAGTTTGGAACATCTAGTATAGCATGTTTGAGGAAAGTGTTCATTAAAAAGGAAAAAATAAACAAGCTGAAATTTTCCAGAACATTGAGTAAATATTTATCACAATTAGGATGCCTACCTTTCTGGGATATTTGTAAGGTGCTGTAGTTTTTTTTACATGCTCCTGAATCTCCTTTTTTAGTTGTTCTTGATCATGCAACTTGTAATCAGGATTCAGAACAATGAAAGCCTTGACTACCTAAAATAAATATTTGAAACACCAGGAAGATGAGTTAGTGTATTTTTATGTCTTAAATGTCTTGTTTGCTTTTTCTAACTGAGGGTTTAAGAGCCTAGTAGGTGGGCCAAAGTGTTAGATACAGTTTGATTCCAGCTCTGTGTTTTTAAGCCAACTAGTTGACTACACACCAGCTGATACAGACCAGCCAGCTTCTGGGACTCCTATAACAACCCACACTGGTCCAGCCTAGTTTCTAGGTTCCCATCCTCATTGTGACCCTTATAAACAGTAGTCACACTAAGTTTGCCATAGCTCTGTTCTAGGGAACAGTGCACTGAGACTATACCCTCTATACAAGGCTGTGAATATTCTTTTGTTTTGTTTTGTTTTGTTTTTTGTTTTGTTTTTTGAGTTGGAGTCTCACTCTGTTGCCCAGACTGGAGTGCAGTGGCCGCTCCCGGCCACCACAGCCTCGACCTGCTAGGCTCCGGCGATCCTTCCACCTCAGCCTTCTGAGTAGCCGGAATTACAGGCATGCGCTACCACGCCCGGCTGATTTTTTTTTTTATTTACTGTAGAGATGAGGTCTTGCTGCCCAGGCGGGTCTCAAACCCGCGGGCTCAGGCAATCCACTCACCTCAGCCTCCCAAAGGCGCGGGATTACAGGCTAAGCCACCGAGCCCGGCGGCTGTGAATATTCTAACAGCTGCTTAGCTGTTGCCCTGATCTACTTGCATGGCCCTGAGAAACGAGCAGAAATTGTTGTGGCCTTTAAGTGGTGGAAGACAGGAAAATCTTATTTTATGCTTACAAATCCTGCTCTCCCAAGTTCATCGTTCCTTAAAATGTCTTTTAAGATAGTGCCTAGAGTTTTTGGACCATTAGTGGAGAAGAGAGAAAGGCCATGCCTTATATGTAGCTCTCTTCAACAGTAAATTTGGGGTTCTGTCATGTTCTCTACTGGGATATTGCCAGCACTGCCATTCACTGCCTGTCCCAGAGGCATGAGTCTAGGTGAGTAAAATAGTATGCACCTACAAATCCAGACTACCAATCGAAGTTTGGCCATGGAGTGATCTTCCTTGCAGGCACAGTTCCAGTAGAGTCTCCTGCAACTTTTTTTAATAATGAAATATCCTGCACTCGAGTACTGAAATCTTATTAAGTTCATGGATTCATGTGTCCAGCTTAAAGACTGACAAGATTTCCTATCCACTTTGATCTAGGAGTAGAGATTTGATTGAAAATGAATTATTTGAGGCCGGGCGCGGTAGCTTAAGCCTATAATTCCAGCACTTTGGGAGGCTGAGGCGAGAGGATTGCCTGAGCCCACAGGTTCGAGACCACCCTGGGCAACATGGCGAGACCTCATCTCTACAATTAAAATAAATAGCTGGGCGTGGTAGTGTGTGCCTGTAGTTTCTGCTACTTGGAAAGCTGAGGCGGAAGGACAGCCTGAGTCTAGCAGGTCAAGGCTGCAATGGCCGGAATCGTGCCACTGCATTCCAGCCTGGGTGACAGAGTGAGACTCCAACTCAAAAAAAAAAAAAGAAAATGAATTATTTGAAACATTAAATCCTCAGGCCAGTTATTTGGTGAGAAATGAAGACTTAAAGTATAAACTTTTTATAAATTGAAAATTGTTTATCAGTGGGCAGTTTTATAACATCTTATGAGCCATAATCCATTTTTTTTTTTGAGTTGGAGTGTCACTCTGTCACCCAGGGTGGAGTGCACACAAACGAACATTTTTTTTTGAGTTGGAGTGTCACTCTGTCACCCAGGGTGGAGTGCAGTGGCACATTCATGGCCACCCCAGTGTCAACCTGCTGGGCTCTGGTGATCCGTCTCAGCCTTCCAAGTAGCTGGAACTACAGGTGCGTGCTACTATGCCCAGCTAATTTTTTTTAAAAAATTTATTGTAGAGACAAGGTCTCACCATGTTGCCCAAGCTGGTCTTGAACTCGTGGGCTCAGGCAATTCTATCGCCTCAGCCTCCCAAATTGCTGAAATTATAGACTTGAGCCACCACGCCCAGCCATTGCACATTTCTAATTTACATGTGTCATGGGACAGTTATGCAACCTTGTGTGCATGTAAATCTATGTATGGATATAATTTTATTATCCTATTCATTTCTGACATTTTATTTATTTTTAATTTATTTTTATTTTTTTGAGTTGGAGTCTCATTCTGTCGTCTAGACTGCAGTGAAGTGGCCGCTCCCGGCCACCGCAGCCTCGACCTGCTGGGCTCCGGCGATCCTTCCGCCTCAGCCTTCCGAGTAGCTGGAATTATAGGCGCGTGCTACCTCACCGGCTGATTTTTTGATTTATTATAGAGATGAGGTCTCACCAAGTTACCCAGGTGGGTCTCGAACCCGCGGCCTCAGGCAATCCACTCACCTTGGCCTCCTAAAGCACTGGGATTACAGGCTGAGCTACGGAGCCTGGCTTTTTTTTTGATATTTTATAAAATATATTTGTAGTTATGCTGGCTCTGCTGCTTTAGCAACATTTTTATGAATTTAAAAATTATCTTTGCTATAAGTTAAGTCATTCAAAGGCAAATTTGGGCCAGGCTCAGTGGCTCAGCCTGTAATCCCAGCACTTTAGGAGGCTGAGGCAAATGGATTGTCTGGTTCGAGACTAGCCCAGGCAACTTGGCAAGATCATGTCCCTACAATAAATAAAAAATTAGCCGGGTGTGGTAGCGCACACCTGTAGTTCTAGCTACTTGGAAGGCTGAGGTGGAAGGATCG